CCGTAAAGCTAGAATGACCTCCCGCGTTCCTCTATTTCTTCTAAACCCAAATTGATCTTTTTCCAACCTCCTCTGTACATTTCTAGTTAAGATTTTTGACGCATGGGAAGTTAAGTTAAGTTAAGGACATAGGCTGCCTTTTATTCAGAAAAAAATACTGTTCCAGAAAGTTAGCAAAATTAGTTTTATGTGATCGACAATTTTATTTGACACGTATTTGGGACATCAACGCGAGCAAAGCCGCGGATAAAAGCTAGTTAAAAGGGGGAACTCCAAGCGTGCTACTAATGGAGAACATTAGGTGCCGTCAAATTTTTTCATAAAATATTTTGTTTATTCACACCAAAATCTACGTTGACCACAAGCCATTTCCGCAAAATGGTCCTTAATAAATTATGTAGATACATAGGCAGGTATATAAGCAAAAGAATATAAACGTGTGTAAATTTGTTAAACAATGGTACACGTTCGTGCATATATTAACAATGTAATTAGAAGGGGGATCCCAAAAATCAATACTCGTGTAATGGTTGTAACCGCCACTAGCTGGAGGGTGGCATGTGGTGTGATAGACGCGGGGGCGGATGGCAAACTCTCTGCGGCGAGTGTTGGAGGCGCGGACGACCGCGTGGGCGTCTGGGCGGCTGTGAAAAGTGCTTTTTGTGTACGAAATGATTCTTGAATTCCAAAGCAAAACTGTCATATCGCATAGCCGCCGCAAAGGAAAATTTTATGCAGGGCGCGAATTTTAATTAAATGCATTACTCCGTTTTACTCAAAAGCAAAAGCTTAAAGAGCGGTTTTCTTTTCGGTCCACAAAATACCACACAATCTGCTTCAAAGTCTTAATCATTTTTCATTTCAAAATGAAAAAATGGGGAATTATTCCTCTAAAAATAGAACATCCCATTTCCATAATTATTTGCAACCTTTAATCTAATGTCTAATCTATCTGTTCAACCCTTAACTTCTGTTTCTGTTTCTAATACGTCACTATACATCACTAACTGGTCCTTCAATAAGAGATTCTACTATCCTGTCGCTTCTTTTCTGCTTTTTCTAATCTCTGAGTTTAATAGTTCTCACAAAAAGTCCCTAAAAAAGTACAGGATGTTCTGTTCAAAATAACACACTTGGCGACCCATTAATAATTGAAAACCAGCCACTTTTAAGAATAATTTCGGAATAAATAGCGTGCTAATTTAGATCATCATCATCATAAGGTCGTCAGTCTTAAGACTGGTTGGACACGCACCTCCACTCTTTCCTATCCTATCCGTTAATCTTCGCATTTCCCTAAAGCTAGAACAATCCACATCCTTAGCTATTTGCGAACAGTAATCTAATGTAAGTCTACCTCTACCCCTCGTAACTTCCGCTTCTGTCTCTAATATGACTCTGACTAGACCTTCATGCCTAAGAAGGTGTCCTACTAACCTATCTCGCTTATTTTTTATTGACTTCCATAGAGTTCTCTGTTCTCCTATTCTCTCTAATACCTCTTCATTTCTAACCTTTTCTACCCACGTTATCCTCATCATCCGCCTGTAACACCACATTTCGAACGCTTTTAACCTTTTCCTTTCCGCCGCGCCCACCGTCCATATTTCGCACCCGTACAGCACCGCGCTCCAAACCCACACCTTTAACAACCTTTTTCGAATTTCTAAATTAATCGTTCGCGAGCATGGAAGTGACTTCTTTTTATTGAAGGCAACTCGACCCTGCGCCATCCTCTGCGCTAATCTAGATGCCTCATATTTATTTGAAATACGTTTTATTTTAACGGAATTCCTAGAGGAACTAGGCAAATGTGAGACACCCTGCTTAATTGAAATTTTAAAATAACTCAAAGAAAATCTTTGAATGCATAATTTTATTATGTGCTAATGGTTATTTAATCTTCAATGCACTTTATTCATTACACTAAAAAAACCTTTTATATTTTACATCTTGAATTTCAGGGTAATCACCGTGGAATCACTCCACCGACAAAGAAAGGAAAACTATCGGCGATTCTCTTTTCGCCATTACCTACCTAAAAACCTCACAAAACTTGACCCTATTGTTTTATCGTATGGCAACATTCGCATCTGAATAAGAGACACATTTGCTACACAAAATATTCGAACAATATCAAAAAGGGCCTCAAGGGTATTAAACTTTACAACATCCCTTTTACAAACATAAATGTAAATCCTGATAACTGGATAACTTTACATCAAAGTCGATAAAGAAAACCGTGTATGATAATATTTATTTTAAATTGATGTAAGCTACGTGTTCACGGAAACGGGTAACAGGTACAATTTCGTAAAGATAAACGATCTTGAGGAAATGTATCAGGCATCAGAAGTCGCTGAAATGTAGAAAGCCTTAAGGGCTATTAAAATTTTGTTCCTACATTCATCGCCAAAAACCCAATTTAGAGAAAATATTTTTAAGTATAGTGACATAGATTCTTTATGAAAAAAAGATAACCTTTGCATCAAGCCATACCGCTCTCCCTCTAAATGTGAATAAAATAATTTCCCAAGGGACTTAACATCTGAATAATTAATGTCGACAAAAAGCAAAAAGAGGATAACGTTCAAAATGATATACTAAGAATAATATGTAACAAACGTGACTCTTGCAAGAAATATTTTCTCCTAAATAATTTGTAGCTAGGCGACTAAAAGCCTTAAATATGCGACTATTATTCTGGGTAAAAATTAAACAGAATTCGTAACAGGCAATCTCCGAATGAAGAAAAGAAGCTATTTGTCCAATTTAGAATAAGTAATGTTTCATGCTAAATATCAATTCATCACGGACTAACTCATTTAGGGCAAAATAAAACACAAACGTTATTTTGAGTAAATAATTAAATGATTCTGTTTGACGATGAATTTTGATTTGACTCATACATAAGTAATTGAAATTTCCTTTTAGATATTTATTTACCTTCCTGCAGAAGCAGTTCCGAAAAGATAGTGAAAACAAGTTTATTCGAAATAAAACATAATCTCTTTGAAATTTTCAGTAATAAATGGTTCTTGAAGCAGTTAAAAACGTTTTAATTGTAATTCAAAGACTGATTGTAGGTTTGTAAAATGAATGATCAAACAAAGTTTCAAAAGCAAATGTTATTTAAATGCATCCAAAGTCACTTTTTGTTTACAGAAGTAGATACTCAACTGGATGGTTTCAGATCAGGGACATGTCGAGGGTTGTTACCGTATTTTTTTTTAACTTTGAAATATACTCAGCATGATAAGCATGCAAACGTGATGAAGTACGTATCCTGAATTGAATATCCTTGCAAATTTATGCTGCATTAAATGTTTAAATCTTCAACTTTCACAGCAGCAAATAATTATTTCCTCGATCAGCTGTTTTAAATTTAGTTCTTCATGAAATAATTTGTGACGTAAACCGTGCGACAGTCATCCGGCAATCTTTTTTATACCGAAACTTTTAATTTTGTTTTCACTGGTTAATATCTTCAAAATTATCATTTTCAACTAAACAATCATAATAGCTGTGAAGATGGTACTCCCTTTTAATTCATGAGCTTTCGGCAAGGTTTCAATCCCTTTAATGAACTTATTATTTTACAAATCTTAAATACTTATGTTTTCTAAAACTAATTCAAAACAAGACCTTTGATCTCCCACGAAAGAGAATGTCGAAAAAGGTAGCTAAACTACATCATTCTTACGGCTTCCATTATGTAACCGCTATATAAACTTGGAGAATTGTTATGATGTAATTTGAGAACAACGCGCAAACAACCCTTCCTTGTCCGTTTCAAGTCCTGCTCCTGCAGGAAATGTCTAACAGTCTCAAAGCTTCCAGTGGAAAATACGTAATTCTATTTCGAGGGATGCAGAAGAATACGTCCCCCGAGGCACTTTATACAACGAAACACTACCTATCATCATCCCCATCCTAAGATTATACGGTTTACCTTCAATTATGCTATAAACAACGAAAGTTATTTTAAAATAAATGTACCTACCTTTACAATGCTACATTTTAAGGAATTTTGACGTATTTTTTTTTTTTAAAGTTATTTTTAAATATAAGTTAATGAAATTTGCAAATTGATACCAAAATTATCCTTATTCTTAAATATTATCCCTTTTCTTAGTCTTACAGAAATAACTCAAATCTTGATCCTTTATTAAGTCGTTTTTTAGAAGCCTAAACCTGAGACTATATATAAACAACGAAAGTTATTTTAAAATAAATATACCTACCGCACAATGCTACCTATTAAAGAATTTTGACGTATTTTCTTTAAAAAAAGGGAGTTATTTTTGAATATAACTAAATGAAATTTGCAAATTGAAACCAAAATTATCCTTATTCTTAAACATTATCCCTTTTCTTAGTCTTACAGAAATAACCCAAATCTTGATCCTTTATTAAGTCGTTTTTTAGAAGTCTAAACCTGATACTGTATATGATACTACTTTAATGTATTTCTTATAAAATAATCCTTGCATTTTATTATTAAAATTCAGTATCGATCTGAGAACACAAGATTATTTAAAAAGTTTTTGCACTC